CTTGGTCGGCTGTTGTTGACCTCAATTGTGTAAGCCATGCTTCGACGCCTTCGGGAAATATGATACCTGTCATTCGTTTCTCAAAGCCGCTGATGCAGTTTCTCTCAGTTAACCCGTGGTTCATGTATCCCGCTCGGTGATGGAGGTGTTCTTGCATCCACAGCTGGAGTAACAGATTGCATCCCTGAAATAACTTGCCTCCTTCTCGGCATATAGTTAAAACTCGGTAGATTTCGGACAAAATCAAAGGAACCACAGTATTGTTGGTTCTTTTGATTGCCACATCGGCCATCCCTACAAGGCCTATCTCTACTTTCTTATCTTTGCAGGGACATACCACGACTCCCAGGAATGCTGTGATAAATGCCAAAGTACGTCTTGCTTCCCACTTGATTCTATTCCTAGTGTGAATTAATCCGAGGTTTGGTTCTTCAAAACCCTGAGGAGTTCCGTACCGTTGATACAAGAATTGGAGAGTACAACATCCNTAACAGATTGCATCCCTGAAAGAACTTGCCTCCTTCTCGGCATATAGTTAAAGCTCGGTAGATTTCGGACAAAATCAAAGGAACCACAGTACTGTCGGTTCTTTTGATTGCAACATCGGCCATCCCTACAAGGCCTATCTCTATTTTTTTATCTTTGCGGGGACAGACCACAACTCCCAGAAATGCTGTGATAAATGCCAAAGTACGTCTTGCTTCCCACTTGATTCTGTTCCCAGTGTGAATTAATCCGAGGTTTGGTTCTTCCAAACCCTGAGGAATTCCGTACCGTTGATACAAGAATTGGAGAGTACAACATCCCTTCGACAAATCATCATTCTGCACCTTCCGACTAATGCTTAGCAAATCCAAGAACGCGTGCGGAGATACTGGTCTTGGTGAAAGTAAATACTGCCCTCTTAGTTTCCCATTCAACCCTGCATATCCGGCGACTTCCTCTAGTGTAGGTGAAAGTTCAAAGTCAACAAAACGGAATACATTGCGGGTTGGGTCTCAGAACGGTATTAGAGCCTCGATGATATCTGTCCTTGGCTTGATATTTAACAGATCGACAAAACCTCCCAAAACTCTTTCCACTATCTTTTTACTATCATTTTCCATATCATTCCACCACATGTGGAGTTGCAAAGGGACCTCGCTACAGACTGAAAACGGTTCATTTTGACTTGTGCTCATCCTGCACATTTATTATAGTGATTAAAGAAGGAAAAACTTTTATGTGACTCAAAAACTATCTATATTCCAAATGACTCAGCTTTCAAACATGGCCTTTTGAGGACGAAGATTTTTTTTTTTTTGAAAAGTAAGACGTCTAAAGAAATATTTTTGAATTTTTTTTTTAACATTCCCGAGATTCAGAAGCCGGTCAACATGCAAGACCGAGCAAATAAATGCACATAGAATAAATAAGATGCATCAGGACGGTCTTTATTTCAGGTTGCTAGCCCTAGACGGACCTAACCCCTGTGTTGAGTCCCCTAAGTCAAAATGCACATGATGCAAATAAGCGTTCCTATTAGGGATCCGGCATGAGGCTGAGTTATTCTAGGTTCAGAACCTGGGTGTTTGTTCTAGACCTGGCTTACCCGAGCGGACAGCTCGAGCCGAGGGGGAGGCAGCGTACCGGGAATAAAGAAGCTTCACCGGCTTTGCAACTTATCCAACCTCGTTCTAAATTGGGAATTAGACACTATATAGAAAAGAAGTCACACGAAGTGCACCCTTCTTCATGATTCAGAAGACTCAGAGAGGAGATGGGTTTCGGCACAGTTTATATACAGTTCACGTAATATCAAAGCGGTAAAAGGCAATCAATTAGCACATTGAGCAAAAACATGTAACAAAATCAGATAAAATCAAATATAACAAATTTTATAAGCTCGCATTTCTAACCCTGAACCAGTGGTTCTGGGTTTCTAATTCCCCAGCAGAGTCGCCAGAGCTGTCACACCTCCTTTTTCCGCCCCCGCGAGGGGTGAA